TATATTTTATTAACTCACGGTAAAAACCATAACAATCAAAACAGACTGCTTTTCAGTGAGTCCGTGCAAATTGTTACAAAAACAAGTAAACTTAACACAATTATATTGACAAACACATATAGAACACGTTTAAATATAAATTGTACTCATCAAATTGAAGAGACGAACCATTTGTACCCCCCCCCCCCCCCCCCTCCTCATGAATGAAAAATCGATAGAGCTGTTTTGTCGGTCTATTGCCAGTCTGTCGCTGATCTATCTTATGTGACTGGGGTAGTATCCTCATCGCTATCCGATCTTATCTGCCTAATATGCAATAGTTGGCTTTTCAATAATGCATCTAGCCCTGCGTCACAAACAAAGTATCGTGTTTCTTTGTTTTCGGAGATCCTTGGCATCACAATGCTCTAAGGTATCAATCGAAAAATCAAAAACAAATTTCAAAATTATTCAAAATAGAAGCATAAAGCGCCACAAGGAACAACAGTTGTTTATTACAAAAATATCATATCAGTCTTACTAAAATACACATGCTTATAAAAACACATCAGAGAATATCCCGAAAGGCACGGAGGGTATTTCTTTTCTTCTTTTCTTGTGAAAATCCATTTTTCATGTTATTCTCTTACCCCAGATAATGAAATGAAAGCTTCCGGCGCCCAGCTAGTCGTTATCAGTTTAATGGGCGTACCTCTCTCTCTCCCCTTTGACCTAAATAGGTATCCATTATCTTGATTAATTGGATTTCATTTTTTTTTAGTTATGTACATTTTTTTTCTCTCTATGTTCTAGACTCCGGGTGTATAGATATTTTCATACAGTGATTTTCTTCTATCTTATAGGGGGGGGGGGGTTGCGTGGGCTTTGGGTAATGTCTCTGAAATGCACATAATCGTTGCCTTTGTACGCCATTATATCTCGTACAGTATGGTCTAATGATTTAAATAATAATACAGCCATGATAATATTATATCAGTTGCGCCCCATTTTCATCGAATGATCTCAAACACCTAAATGCATTATTATGATAAAGTAATCTTCATGCTTGATTAGATCATGAGTAGTTAAGGCCATGGCACACGGGGCGTCATTTCAATTGCATTATTCCCTTGCGCCAATAGAGCTTATTTAGAGCATGGATGCGTCAGTAAAGGCTTGTTCCAATATGGCGCGGTAGACTGCTGCGGAGATAAGGCGACCGCGGTTTCGTTAAGTTTGAATGAATGGCAACTGCGCACAACGCCCCTGCACCTCTGAGCTACATTTAACGGAGATAGCATAGGGTGAAGGAAATAGTGTAATTCTTTTTTCTGTAAAATGTTGGTGTACATGTATATAATGTATAGGAAGCAAAAATTATACCGCCCCCACACACACGCACACATACACACACTCGATCCTCTTCTCGTCAGTTCCATTATCTTTCTTGTAACGCATAGCGTCACAGTGAGTTTCATTTTCAAAATAGAGTAAACCTGAAATGAAAAACACTTGTAGTATTGTTTTTCATATCATTATATATTTTTTTGAATATTTACAAAGTGCTATCAATAATGATGTATTAATTTAAATGATAACATCAATGATAACTGATCAGCAGTCTGATTTACCATACACGTTGACCGTTTTATATCAGTTTTCCGACGCAGGGATAATCATCCCTTTTTGAAAGATTGCTCTGGCGATAATCTTGTCATTGTTTTTTTTCCTACAGTTACTGTGGCGAAGTTTTTTTTTAATGTGAATCATCTATTCAAACTCATGAATAACATGACCTTTTGTTTCGCCAAGTTGACGACATCCCGGCCTCATTGTTTTTCCTACTCCTGATTGAAAAGGAGGTTAATGATTAAAAGGCCTGGAGCTGATTTCTTCGTGTTTATTTGCGCCGGAAAATCTAACAGAGATCGTATCATTACCTCATTATAACTTTTTTGTCTTCTTTTTTTTTCCTGTTTATTAGAAACCGATCATGTGTTATTGCCTTCGTGAAGTGTATACTAATTATGGCACGATATGGAAGGCACACTGTTGACAATTTAATGTTGAAGGGTTAAAGGGATCCGGTAACTTTGTCTCAGATCCTTCAACAAAATCCTTGATTTAGCTCATGCTGCAATCATAATTATATAACCTTTATATCATTCAGGAATCCCGTGACTTTTACAAGCCGATCCCCTGTCTGATTATCAAGATATTTATGATTGAAAATCGAAATTTCATTTTGCGTTTTCCTAACGGTGTTCATATCACTACAGTTTATTGGGGAAAATGAGTATGGTAAAACCAGTCACTCAAAGATTTTTACTTTTTTTTGAGGCACTTCATGATCATTTTGAAGCGCATTTATTAGGGCTTCAAAATCACACCATATCACAGACACTGATAACACGTAGGGCCATGCATATCAGATTTAACATTGTTAAACGACGCCTTTAAAGGCAACGGATTCGGTTGATATTCATGGAGTATTCGTCAGAAATACGAAATAAAAGATTAGCATGATAATCATAGATATACATCATCTACTTGAGATATGAAACTATTGCATTAGCATGGCAACGGGGTCTTGTAGTTATAGTAGTGGTGGCTATTTTGCCTGACTGCTAAGAAAACATTAATGCTTGTTGGTAAGCAACCAGAGGACCGACGGCTTTATGTCCTCTCTGAGAGACCTGGTAATGAGGATTAATGTCTTACCAAAGGGCACTAGCGCATCGACTTGGTTTCGAACCCGGGTCACCGAATTACGAGACCACTGCTGCTCTACCGACTGAGCTATTGCGCCTTGATTTCATCAGTTGTATTATTGAAGAAAAACAAACTTATTTATCATTAGAGAAAGAGGGGGTGTGAAAGAGGAAGAAAATAAGAAAGAAAGAAAGGGAGATAAAGGGGGAAAGGGGGAGGGGGAAGTCAGACAGAACGGGAGAGAGAGAGAGAGAGAGAGAGATGAACCAAGGTATTACAGTGAACTCGCGTGGATATCTTTTACACATGTTTTTAAATATAGTTTCTATATCTTTTACACATATTTTGATATATAATTTTCTTCCATTTACTTTTCTTTGATTGCTATGTTTTTCCTTCTACAAATTCTACTACCAAGGGACGCCAACATTATTGCGGTTTGTCTTTTAAATTGTTGATTTCTTTTCGACGTTGGCGGCAAAATGCTATTCTGAAGATTGTATCGGTGTACATCTTGCTTGCCATGATTGTTGTGAACATATTTTCATTTTTCTGTCGGTTTTTTCATTAAACACCTCTACATTATCTTCCTCCTCTTCATCATCTTCTTCTTTATCCTCTTTCCTTTCTTCTTCTTCGTTTTCTTCTTTTTCTCATCCATCTTCTTCTTCAACCCCTTCTTCCTCTACCTCTTCTCCTCCTTCTCCGCATCCATCTTCCTTTTCTACCCTTTCTTTTTTCTTTTCCTTCTTTGTTCTCTTATTCTATCTTTAGCCTGCAGTCAATCGTCACTTTCATCATCCTCTATCAATCTAGCTCTAAAGGTCTAGAAAACCAATGATTAGTCCGAGCTATGTTCGTACTCATGATCCCACGTCTTGCTTACTCCGATTACTTTTATGAACATTGGGGATGCCTGGAAATAAAACATACTGTCTTTCTGTTTTTCGTTTTGGTTGATGCCTATCAACTATTGCAGTCATATTGATAGTCAAAGGGGAATGGGCAAATTAACTTGTCCTGCCATATATCATCTTCCAAAGTAGCTAAACATACAGTTTATCAACCGATTGGTTGGTTGGTCTATTTTTTTTTTACTTGACTGCTAAAAAAGGAACGGTAGGATTGTAGGTTAAGCAACCAGGGAACCGACGGCTTTAAGTCCTCTCCAGGGTACTCTGTAATGAGGATTAATGCCTAATCAAAATGTATTAGCGCATCGCCTTGGTACGAGACTATTACTGAGCCATGGAGCCTACCTGTGTTACCTGTGGGGGAGGGGGGGGGAGTTGTATTGTTTATAGTTTGATGGCAAAATGTTTGTCCCCGTTTTCCATGACATCGAAAAAAAGAAAAAGAAAAACCTTGACTATGTACAATCTTTTTCACGACTTCGAACTTTCGAAATAATTCACCTAATAACTTAGAAGCACCAACTAACTTGGCTTCTTGGCTTTTCAAGCGATTATTGAGTTTAGAAAAGTGAACGGCTCCAGGATATCAATTACCTGGCGGGAAATTGGGCAGGTTGCGTATCGAATTTCTTAATTTTGAAGTTCGATCCTCTCCCTATACCCCAAATAAGAGATTATAATTATAGGGTCGCTCTAGCGAAGAGAACCTCGATACAGGCCTACGGGAAAGTGTGTTTATAGACTGGGACTGCTAAGTAAAGGGAAATCGAACCTTGGTAATGAATTAATTTGTACGAAGGCAGAAAAATAAGGCTAAAGAGAAAGGCGAAAACTTGAAATAAATCGGATAAATGATGAGGGAGTTACCAATGTTTTAGATATGATATCACTAAATCTACACAAATCTCAATTGTCACCGAAGCATGGTCATAGCCCAAATTTTTGGAGCACCGACATACTGCTAAAATTGTGTTTTAATAGATGTTCCCTTTTGGTTCATGAGATATATGTGTATAACCATAATAACAAAAGAAAACATGAGTCATTTTTATAGAAAATAATAGTCTGTGGGTGTACTATTTATGACTTAATAAATTTAATAAATTCATATTCGTATTTAATAATATGCGTGTGTGGGCTCGCGTGTATAGGGCTCGCGCGTGTGTGTGTGTTTTAAACAGCATGACTACATATGTTCTACAATAATTGTCTGTATAACAATTAAAACAAAAATAGTTGTGTTTGTTTTATGTAATATTTGATAATTTTTATAACATTGTTTGTATAAATCAAGTCTAATAAAAAAAAACACTATACGATTCAATTTAATTTTAAATTTAGTATGCAACTCGACGTATTTATTTATAATTTTCTTATTTCGTTATTCGTTTACAGCTCTGGTAGTACGATACCTGACTCACCGATACATCGGCGACTACGATCCTGATCTAG